GCAGGAAAACCTGTTGGGAGTAAATCTGTGGGACCCTCATGGAGTTTTCAGGGGTCATGTCTGCAGACAGATCCGTGTAATCAAGAGACAGTAATGGCTGGCTGTTGTGACCAGAGCCTCTGAGGGTCTCTGTGATCTGGCAGGAAACTCATGGAGGCGGGACTCACCTCCTTGGGGATGGGTGTGGGTCAGAGTTGCTGGAGAGTGAGCCTTCCTGCCCCAGGCAAGCTTACAGACTACGCAAACTGACAACAGTTCGTTGGGGCAGAAGCCTTACCTGTACAGGGGGTTACTCACTCTGGCAAATAAATATCTTTCATAATAAAAGCATCATCAGATTCCAGAGTCATGACTTAACAAACTGTGCTGGTCTGCATCAGGTGTTATGTTCCTTTAGTTCGAAACATATTTTATCCTTTGGTAGTCAGGGCTATGCAAAGGGTGTGGTGTTATGACCAAGCATCTGGAGTTATTAATTTAGCCTCATTTTCTGCTACAACAACAGCTGTCTTGGGCTGACTTTTATGACACAGTTAACTGCCCACCACCAACAGGCCACCCATTTTTAGTCCTCAGTCTACTGGCCCTGCCTGGACAGTCTTATTTCTTCTTTCCATTTCAACTAACCACTGTTGTTTCCATCATTGTAAGATGCGCCATTAATTTAATAACATCTAGGTGTGGGGAAGGGCAGGGAGAAGAATCACCATCACATTAAATATACAACATCTATTGTAAGATCACCCCTCCACCTCACAGCTAAAGACCTGCTGATCATTCAAGACTCGGTTCACAGTCATCCCCTCTGAGCTTTTTTGGACAAGCTTCCCGAGGACTGACCACTCCCTTGTGTCACAACTGCAAATGCTGTCACACCTACTAAGTCAGGATGCACAGACTGTAAGCACCTCAAGGGCAGGAACTGTTATATTTACCCCTGTATTCCCAGGCTCTAGCCCAGTGCCTAGCATTAATTCATTCTACAAATATTTACTAAAGACCTACCATATGCCAGGCACACGCCCAGACTTGCACTTTATTTGTTAAACAAAAGAGTTTTTAGCAAACATCGACTCTGCAGTGATGTGAGAGATGTAAAATGAGCATGTGACAGTCTCTTCGGCCCTTCCATTATTAGACAGAGATGGGAGCAATGTGTATGTTGTTAGCTTGGGCTTATATAACAAATATCATAAACTGGGTGGGTGGCTTAAAACAACAGACATTTATGTCTCACAGTTCTGGAGGCCTGTGAAGGCCAAGATCAAGGTGCTGGTCCATTTAGTACCCGGTGAGGGCCTCTCTTCCTAGTTTGCAGACAGATGCCCTCTTGCTATATCGTCACGTAGCATAGATATAATCTCTCATGTCTCTTCTTATAAGGGCACTAATCCCATGCATGAGGGCTCCATCCTCAGGACCTAATTACTCCCCAAAGTCCCCACTTCCAAACACCATTGGAGATTAGGGCTTCAATATATGAATTTGGGGGGGGGGTGCACAGACATTCGGTCCATAGCATGTGCTAAACCAATCGTGACCAAGTGCCAGAATGTGTGCTTCAGACATTGAGCACTGTGCATAGTTAAGAAAGGGAAAGATTTGAGCTTCTGGAGAAGCCAGGCCTTACTCTTCTCTGTAGTTCCAACATCCCCCAAGGCCTAATATTAGGCTTGCATTTAAGGTTAATTGAATTAAATTGAAAAATTTGCCCGAAAAATTCTATGGGATGGGAAATGGAAAGGAATTGTAGGGTGGGTAAATGGCATGAAGAAAGGCCTGGTGACAAAAATGAATTGAAAAACATTTTTTTTGGATTTCCCTGGTGGCGCAGCAGTTAAGAATCCGCAGCGTTTAAGAATCCGCCTGCCAATGCAGGGGACATGGGTTCGATCCCTGGTCCGGGAAGATCCCACATGCCAGCAACTAAGCCCGTGTGCCACAACTACTGAGCCTGCACACCACAACTACTGAAGCCCGTGCACCTAGAGCCAGTGCTCCGCCAAAGAAGCCACCGCAATGAGAAGCCCGCATACCTGTGCGCATCAGTGAAGACCCAATGCAGCCCCCCCAACAAAAATAAAATAAAATAATAAAAAATAAAATTTTTTATCATGTTAAAATATATATAACATAGAATCTACCATTTTGACTGTTTTTAAAGTGTACAGTTCAATGGCGTTAAGTACATTCACATTATTGTCCCACCAGGTATGAATTTTTAAGAGTCTCTTGCAGAAGGGTTCATACCTGTCTAAATTTAGGCACTTTTGTTAGTGGAAATAAGAAACACTTGTTAGTGGAAATAATGATTATCAGAGTAAAAGCAATGTTCCTCTCCCCAATTGGGGCAGTTTCCCATTAACATCTATGATTTGTTTTGCATATATTAATGAAAGGCTGTGGTATTGGGGGGCGGGGGGCACCAGTTCTGCTCCCTGTATGTTTGAATTATCCTTGTGAAGTTTTAAACAATGAACACTAATTTTTTTCCCCCAATACTGGGCCTTTTGTATTCAAATCAAAAGCACAAAGCCCCATTATGGGGGGAAAAAAAGAATCTTTATTGGCAAACAGTTGTGTCCACTTAAAGCAATAAATAAAAAGTCTAAAGAGTACATTCCATATGAAGTGCTGTAGCTATTAATACACTTGGGTTCCCAGGGTCTGCCCCCCTCCCTCCATGGGTCTATTTGTGGGGAGTGTTAATCAGTGCCATAGGCACCCCTGAGAAGGAAGGAGGTGGGTGAGGAGAGGCGAGGCAGGCCCACCCAGCCTCAGGGCAGTGAGCAGAGCCTGTGAGATCTGGGTTCTGGTCTTGACACTTCGATGTGAATCCCAGGGCAAGGCACCAAACACTTAAGGCCTCTGCACCTTGGAGGCTAGAATCCCCAGCCTTTGAAGTCCTTTCCTCTCAGGACTTCCCTGGTGGCGCAGGGGTTAAGACTCTGCACTCCCGATGCAGGGGACCCAGGTTCAGTCCCTGGTGAGGGAACTAGATCCCACATGCATGCCTCAACTAAGAAGCCTGCCTGCTGCAACTAAGATCTGGTGCAACCAAATAAATAACTAAAATAACTAAAGAAATATTTAAAAACAAAGAAAGTCCTTATATCCCTTTCAGTCATATCTGAATAATATTTAGCCAGGTCCAAGCGGCTGGTTTGTGGGGTGCTTTGTTCAGGACAAGTGGGTGAAGGTGCGGGAAGTTAGCTGAGGGAATTGGAGCCCCGCGTGGGTGACTCGAGAGTGGTGGAACGCGGGGTGGCTCGGAATGGAGCTCAAGCGATGGGATTTCCAGATGAGTCTTTCTAAGGCCAACTTTTAAAGGTCGGAGGAAAGCTTGCCGCGGGGCGGAGGCCCCGAAGGGGGGGCTGGGTGGGCTTCGACGTCTCCTCCCCTTTAAGCGGGTGGCCCCGGCCCTGCCTCTGTTACCTGGAGCGGGGAGGGGCTTGGGAAAGTTTGCGTTTGTTGCTGGCAAAGCGCCGGATGGGAGGCGCGGGCGGGCGAGCGCTGCGGTTCCTCCCTCCTGCTTTCGGGAAGCGGTCGGGGCTACACGCTCGGCTCGGCGGGGCGGCCCTGGCGCCCGGCTCCCGGTGCCCGGCCGGCTGGAGGAGGAGGGCGGAGGCGGGAGGGCGGCCTCCCAGGCTGCGATACACACATGCCGAGCGCTTCCGCCAACAGGCACAGCTTACAGTAAAGGTAAGAATCCTACGTGTCCAAGTACTTCCGTGACGCTCGCCAGAAGCACAGACAGTTAGGGCAGGGCACCAAGGCTCTTCCAGGCACGCTGAGAAACTTGGTTCTCATCTCGCCTCTGAACGCCGAGTTTATCGGGCCAGGAAGCTAACGTCAGGAAACGTACTCAGGGTGCCGTCGATTCAACATTATTTCAGCAGACAGCCCAAACCGAGTGTGTCTCTTTGTGTTTCCCACGGGCAGAAAGAAATGGTGTCAACGTGCACGCCTCCAGCTGGGACGGTGTGGAGGGAGGTGACATGAACTCTCTCCGTGGGACACAAGCCCATGCCTTCAGTGTGAAAGGCCTCTACGCCTCTCTGCTTTCACATCCCAGAGGTAGCCTCAGCTCTGAAAGGCTTCCAAACGAGGAGAGTCAGAGGACCTTTGAACCACACAGCAGGTGCAGCGCAGAACAAGGACTTCACTCTTGGCCTGAGAACACCCACTGCCCAGCGCTCCTTCGGTGTACACACGCGGTGGAGCAAGGCTGTTGGATTCGGCGCCGTGAGAACTTCTCTGGGCCACGTAGTGTGAGCGCAAGAAGATGAGCCCTCCATCTCATGCCACATCCCTGTGTAAGTTGGGCAAGGCAAACTCCCCGCTTGAATCCCTGCTTGGGTTAAGTACCCTCCGGGGAAGGATCGTTGCTTGGGCCACTTGGCTGGTATCCGGGTTAATGTTCCGTGCATCCACATCGCGGCTGTTGGGGCGCGGCTGCCGCGCGCGGCCTGGGGCGCCGACGGTGCCGGGGCCACTCCCGGGAGAGCGGGCCGGGATCCGCGGGCGGCGGGGCCCGGCGGGGAGCGGGCGCGAATCGCGCGGGGTGCGAGTCGCCGTGCTCCAGGCCGAGCCTCGCCCGCACATGTGCGGGGGGGAGTGGCCCCAGGCCGGCTTCCCCGGGCCCTCCCTACCTGTTAGCCGCCCGCGGCCGGCTCACCTTGAACTCCCGGCCCGGAAGGTGCCTGCGGTCCCGGCCCGCGTCCCCGGCTCGGGAGCGGAAATCCGCGGCTTTGATCTGCCCCGCCATGGCCGAGACCGGCCGAACCGCGCTCCACACATACAATCCCCCGCGCCGGGCTGCCTTTCCAGGGAAGCGAGAGGATCCGCCAACTTCCTTCTGCGAAGGTCACCGGCTGGCCCCGAGCGCTACAGCAAAAATCGGTGCGCGGGTCCCTCTGTCATGTTAGTTGTGGCTAGCTCTTCTGCCTCAGTCTTCTTCAGCGCCGCTGAAGCTGCCTCGCTGCAGATTTGCACACAAAGACCTGGGAGCCTTGGCTTCTTCAACTTTTCCTACCTGTTACTTTTTCTCCCTTACTGTCCCCTGTTTTCCACCCTCTCTCAACCTTGGTGCCTCTTGATTATTTGGCCCAGCGCCCTCCCCCAACCCAAGGAATCTTTGGTGTGATTTTTTTTTCCCCCTCTCCATCTTCCATTCACCCATACACACAGACACCATCTTCACATCGTATAATATGGTTATATTACTATAACCAAGTAGTTATCAGCCACAGAAATAATCTGCTGATTAAGTGCCCACCATGGATCAGGAAGGCTGACTCTTAAAAGCTTTGCTATTCCTGAAGCCCTTTGGTCAGTGTCAACCAGAACAGAAGGAATTCTGTGACCTGACCAGGGGTTCTCTTCCACACCACTAGAGAAGGCAGAGCTGAATCTTTTATAAAGCACATGGTGTGTGGTGTCTGTCCCAGCTGCACCCAGGGTAAATGACTACTCTGCACTTACGGTCAGAGGGTCCCAGTGGAGACCTTCCACAGCCACTCCCGTCCAGCTGGCACCAGGCTCCACACTGTCCCAACTCCCATGACTCCTGCTGCTGGGTGGGGGGGCAGGCTTTCTAGCTGCTACTGTGTTTTTTTCCTTCATGTCTGAGGGGTTTTCTGGAACTCCCTCCCTGAAAGAGCTCACCCAGCCACATTGCTTTAGCTGCAACCAGGTGCAGAAAGCTTCCAGGTTTTTCACCTAATTTTGTAGCATCTCTTCTGTGGTCTGGGGTCCTAGTGCTTTTATTTCTCTTCCTTTCACTCTGGGACCCTTGTAAGTTTTCCGTTTGTTGCACACTGCTGGTGGTAGTCCACACCCATTACATAATTGGCTGATGTGTCTGGGTCAAGCAGGGCGATGGCCACTGGTTGCACAGATCGTGCACTGAATGCACAACTCTAGGAGCTGCTGTTCACTTCGTCCTCTGTGTGAATGGCCCTCCCCAAAGTTGTGCAATTCACAACCCCTGTACTAGTTAAGAGGATGAGGCCAGGTAGAAATTTGAAAAGAATGTTCGTGAGTAACTACGGTGTGGGAGAAAAAGGGAGAGAGGGCAAAGAGAGACCAGCAAAAGCAAAAATAGAAGTGGGGAAAGTACAGCTTGGGGAAGTCTTGGAGGTATTCCAGTATATCCTGCCCTGGCTGGACATCTCATGTCAACTACACACAGGCAGTGTGTGTGGTGTCACCAGCCAATGCCTTGTCCCCTAACAGTCCCTGAACTTCATGTTCACCTGATAGCTTGCTGTAGCGAATCTCACTTGGTGTGGCTTCCGTGTGACCTCCGGGAGGCCCTACCTGTGGTACTGTAGGTACTGATTCCTGAAACCCATTATGTTGATATGCTAGATCATCTTTGCTCTTGTACTGCAACCTGGGCATAATCTTGCTGTCACTCTCTTTGACCTCTACGTTCACACTGTCGCCCAACTCTGTTCCTTTTCCCATAGTGCAGACTCGAGCGTCTTCCCTGTCCTTCCTGTATCTAAAGTTACTGTCCTAGCTCGGGTTCCGAAAGCTCCCCACACAGATCTGACATCTACCTGTTTGACTTTTTCCTCCAGCCTCCCTTCTAAGTTCATCGTTTTCCTGAAGGATCGTTTCTGGAGGTCCCACCTTAGCTCATTAGTCCCTATGATTTTCTTCTGCGGATGTTCTGCCCCTTGTATTCTCTCCCCTCTAGTCTTCTGTCTGATTCAGATGCTTCATTCTAAAGAACCTCTTTGCTATCCTTTGCATAGAATGTATGTGAACCTTCTGGCCTTTCCATTTCCCGTGACCTGGGAATGCCTCTCCTGCTTCTCTCCTCTTACCTGTGTATTTCCTTTTTCCCCTAAGACCACTTCCTCCATAAAGCTTCCCTAAATGAGTGTACCTATCACAATCACAACAGAACCCACTCAGCTTCATAAAGCAGGTTTTCACTTCCATTGCCTATGTCTGACTCGTCTCATCCATCCATTTAATACATCATTTCTTGAATGCCCAGTGTGTCCGTAAGAGTGTCCCAGACAAATGATTAAGACACAGTGTCTCACTGAGTGGTCAGTGGGGGTGGGCAGACAGTTAATAAAGCAGCCAACTACAAGCCAGAATGAAATACCTGACATAGAAACCAAGTGCTGGTAGGAAGCAAGGAAGAGCATGATTAATTTTGACTTGGGGTCAGGGTTGACTTTGCTGAAGAGATGACATTTGAGCTGAGCCTTGAGGTTGATTAGTATTTTGAAAGAAAGGATGGAAGAGCCTTCCAGGCTCTGGGGAAAGGCATCCAGTGTGGATGAGTGCAAGTGCCTGGTTCATTCAAAAAGGGCATGTAAGTTCCATGTAACTGAAGGTGGGAGGAGGGATATTAGGAAGGCAAACTGGAAAAGTGGGTCTGGGATGGATTCTGAAGGCTATTCTTGCAGTGCTGAAGTCTTCACTATGTGGGTAGGCTTGTTGGCCTTGTGGGTGCTGCCACACAGCCTGTGCTTCTCCCATTAGAGCACTTCTTTATCTCACTGTACATGATTATCTGTTCCTGGTCTAAATCCTCACCCTGATTATATCCCATGGGGCAGGGACCAGGTTGGTATTGTTCACTATAGTATTCCTCTTACTAATCGAGTGTCTGGCACAGAGTAGGTGTTTCATAAATATTGGCTGACTGAATGAATGCACGTGTATATCATTTTTCTGTGGGTCATGGGTTGCCTTTGAAAATTTGCAGTGTGAGATTGATACAACATGGTGATGTGTTTGAGGAGGCCAGTCCTAGCGTGGAGCGTGAATTAGAGAGGAAGGTATGAAGATTGTGGAGGGGGATTAAGATACTCTCTCTCTCTCTTTTTTTAAAAAAATATTTATTTATTTATTTATTTGGCTGTGCCGGGTCTTAGTTGCGGCATGTGGGATCTTTGTTGCAGCATGCAGGATCTTTAGTTGCGGCATGTGGGATCTAGTTCCCTGACCAGGGATCGAACCCGGGCCTCCTGCATTGGGAGCGTGGAGTCTTAACCACTGGACCACCGGGGAAGTCACTAAGATACTCTCTTAATGTGTGTCTTTTACAAAAAATACTTACAAATCCATCAAAGTAGTTTTTAAACAACAAAAACATTACATCTATATTTTAAAATCCAAATAACATAGAAGGGTAATGTATTATTGTATTGGGTAGGCTAAATTGCTCTAACAAATGGAATCAAAACACAGCGGTTCAAACAATGGAAGTGTCTTTCCTAACTCTTCTCGGGGATGTTTCGGATGAAATGGTTGATCGCTGTTGCACACAGGCATTCTGGCTCCCAGGCTGATGGGCAGTTCTGCTGTCTTCAGCCCCTAGTTTCTAAGATCACTTGGGTTGTCACCATCGCCCTTCCAGCCCTGTAAAGGGGAAAGAGCATGTAGTCTTTCTGGGCTAAGCCCGGCAGTGGCCTCCATCACTTCTGCACACATTCCATGGCAGAGGATTTAGTCCAGGCCACACTAACTGCAAGGGAAGCAGAGGAATGTGGGAGCCGTGTGCTGGCTGCTGTGGAAGAAGAGAAGAACAGATTTGGGGGACAGCTTGCAGTCTCGGTGTCACTTATAAAGGAAATAAGGTAAAAGGATGAATGTGCCCACCCTCCCACTGCCCAGGCATAGCCACTCATATATAAGGTACATGTGTCCGTATACTGAATATTTTGTTTGGTCTTTCCTCATAGCTTCTGCACAGGGCTCTGCACCTAACAGGCCCAGAGTAATAATAGCTGCTATTTATAGCGTGCATACCAAGCGTCAGGCTCTTATGGACATTTTCTTATTGAATTCTCACGGCAACATTTTGAGAAAGGTACTGCTATTTTCTCCATATTACAGATGAGGAAACCGACACCCAGAAAAGTTAAATAACTTGTCCAGAATCATACAGCTACTCCATGGCTGAGCCAGAATTTGATCACAGGACCCAAATTTGGTCTCAACTAAGGAAAGATTGACCAATGTTCACCATAATCTTATTTTGTGTATCACTCAAGATGAGTTTAGACGAAAAAGTATAATACTGGTTTGAAAGCAAAAGTGCGGTTACAAAGAGGAAGGTCTGGGGTGAGTGCAGCCCAGGCACGATTCCTGAAGGGAGGGGCAGTGCCAGGATGCACCTCATAGATGTGACAGCTCTGCAACCCCTAAGGCCTCACCACCCCTGCTCTGAGGAAAGGGACCAAATTGCAGCTTCCTCCAGAAAGCGCTGGAGGAGAAAGGCTGGCAGGAGGAACCCTAGTCAATCCATCCAGCTCAACGGTCTTTGAAGTGCTGTGGACTTCAGAGAGTGCTCGGCTCTCATTTTAGCCTTGTTAACAGAATTCCTGTATCTGCCAAGCTGATTAATGCCTGCCCCGGCTATAATTATTCTTATTAGCCTGCTGAATAGGAACTCTAGTTGTCAGTGATCATTCCTTACAAGGTAGTCGTGCTAGTCGGCATTTATATGTCTATTTTGTTTCTGTGCCGAGCTGCTGAGCTGATTTCTACCCCATAGATTGAATGTACATGTTCATACTAGTGCTGTGTCTGGCAGTTAAATAAGGTGTGTGCTTGTCTGTCAGCGTGTCTGCGTCTCACTTTATCAAATGAAGTTGGGGGGAGCTGTCAGGGCAGTTCATAGCTATTCTGTTTAATTGCCTTGGTTTCTTAAAGGCAGGGTAGCAAGGCCCTTTGACTCTTCGCTTTGGGAAAATAACTTGAACCGGCAAAAATTCTCCGTAATTTATCTTCCGGAAAAGGCAAAGTGCGGCTGTTGGCACAGTCAGTGCTTTTGAGATCTTGGAATATTTTCCTCCACACCAACTGTAGTCTTTGCGAAGCAACAGAATTAGACCCAGTAGTTAACACTGTCGTGGACCAGCAATGCT